GTCCAGCTCTCACATGTATATGCAGCAATTAAAAATACCATGGTTTGGGTCAGGCACACTGTAGTCTTTAAACTGACATCTTTGCTCTTAAACACTTTAAAGAGGTTTTTTGCAGTGGATTTGCCAAATGCAATATATTGTTTGATTTCTTGACTGCTGCTTCCATGAGCATTGATGGTGGATCCAAGCAGAGTGAAGTCTTTGATAACTTCAGTCTTTTCTACATTTATAATGATGTTATTTATTGGTCCAAGTGTGAGGATTTTTGTTTTCTTTACATTGAGGTGCAATTCATATTGAAGTCTATAGTTTTTGATCTTCATCAGTAAATATTTCAAGTCCTCTTTTCTTTCAGCAACCAAGGTTGTGTCATATGTTCCTCCCATCCTGATGTCACATTCTTCTTTGTATAATCCAGTTTCTCAGATTATTCAATCAGTATACAGATTGAATACATATGGTGAAAGGATACAATCCTGACACACACCTTTCCTGATTTTAAACCATGCAGTGACCCTTGTTCTTTTCCAACACCTGCCTTTTGATCTATGTATAGGTTTTTGTTGAGTCCAGTTAAGTATTCAGGAATACACATTCTTCCAATGTTATCCATAGTTTATGATACACACAGCTAAAAGCCTTTGCATAGTCAGTGAAGTACAAGTAAAATCTTTCTGATATGCCTTGCTTTTAGCCATGATACATCTGACATTAGCAGTAATATCCCTAGTTCCATGTCATTTTCTAAATCCAACTTGAATTTCTGGCAGTTCCCTGTCATTGTAATCATTTTTAAATTATTTTCAGCAAAATTTTTACTTCCTTGTGATGTTGTTCAATTATTTCTGCATTCCATTGGGTTATCTCTCTTTGGAATGGGCACAGATATGGATGTCTTCCAATAGGTTGGCCAGATAGATCTTCAGATTTCTTGGCATAAATGTGTGAGCTCCTCCTGCACTACATCAATTTGTTGAAACATTTCATTTTGTTTTCCATCAATTTTTTTAGCTTAGTGCCTTCAGTGCAGCTTGGAATTCTTCCTTCAATACTATGGGTTCTTGATCATATGGTACCTCTTGAAATGAGTGAACATCACCCAGTTCTTTTTGGTACAATGACTCAGTGTGTTCCTTCTGTCTTCTTTTGATGTTTCCATTGTCATTCAATTGTTTTCCCACTGTTGTTGTTATTCTTGTTAAATGTCATCGAGTTGAGTTACTGACCCTGTATAGAATTTCTAAGGAGTGGCTGGTGGGTTTGAACCACCAAACTTGTGCCTAATAATCTAGTGCTTATCCTACAGTGCCACACCACGATTCCATTAGAATCCTCCAATATTTCAATTTGAGGCTTGAATTTTTTCTTCACTTCTTTGATCTGAGAAATGCTGAACGTGTTCTTCCTTTTAGTTTTTTAACTCTAGGTCTTTGCACATTTCATTATAATGTTTGACTTTGTCTTCTTGAGCTGCCCTTTGAAATTTTCTATTCAGGTCTTTTACTTCATCATCTCTTCCATTTATTTTAGCTTCTCTATACCCACATATATTTGGCCAGAGTTTTGTTATACCTAGCAACAATGGACTTTTGGTGTGGTACTGTAGGATCGGCACTGAACTGTGAACCACAAGGTCGTCAGTTCAACCCCACCAGCTATTCCTCTGAATCCTAACGGGTCACTATGAGTCGGAACTGTCTCTATAGCACTTAACAACAACAAGAGCAAGTTTCAGAGTTTCTTCTGGCAACCACTTTGGTCTTTTCTGTCCTTTTTTTTTAATGACCTTTTGCTTTCTTCATGTATTATATTTTTTATGGTATCCCATAACTCTTTGGTCTTCAGTCATTAGCGTTTAATTCTTCAAATCAATTCTTGAGATGGCCTCTAAATTCAGGTGGTATATATTCAAGATCATATTTTGGCCCTCTTGGATTTATTTTAATTTTCTTGTGCTTCAGGCTGAACTTGAATGTGAACAATTGATGGTCTGTTCCACAGTCTGCCCCTGGCTTGGTTTTGACTGATGATAATGAGCTTTCCCATCATCTCTTCCCACAGATGGAGTCAGTTTGATTCCTGTATCCATCTGATAAGGTCCAGGTGGATTGTCCCCTTTTATGTTGTTAAAAAAAAAAAAGGTATTTGCAATGAATAAGCCATGGGTCTTGCAAAATTCTGTCATGCAATCTCCAGCATTATTTCTATCACCAAGGCCGTGTTTTCCAACATTTCCTTCCTCTTTGTTTCCAACTTTCCCATTCCGATCACTAGCAATTATCTGTGCATCTTGATTACATGTTTGATCAATTTCAGACTGAAGAAGTTGGTGGAATTCTTCGATTTCATCATCAATGGCTTTAAAAGTTGGTGTGTAAATTTGAAAAATAGTGATATTAACTGGTCTTCCTTGTAGGCATATGGATATTAACCTATCACAGACAGCATCGTACTTTTCTAACTAGATCTTGAAATGTTCTTTGTGACAATGAATGCAATGCCATTCATTGTCAAAAAGTATGATGTTTTCAGCACTGTAAACATTGTGATTGTCAGATTCAGAATGGCCAGCACCAGTCCATTTCACCTCACTAATTGCCAAGGACATCAATCTTTATGCATTCTATTTCTGACAGCTTCCAGTTTTCCGCAATTCATACTCCTTACATTCTATCTTCCAATTACTGATGGATGTTTGCAGCTGGTTTTCTTCATTTTGAGTTGTGCCCCATCAGCAAATGAAGGTCCCAAAATCTTTACTCTATTCATGTCATCACAGTCAACTCTACTTTGAGGAGGCAGCTCTTCCCCAGTCGCATTTTGGTGCCTTCCAACCTGAAGGGTTCACCTTCTGGCACTATATCTGACAGTATTATGGTGTTCTAAACCAGACAGTGTTCCTCCGCTATCCCTAAGGTTTTTCTTTGGTTAACATTCAGAAGTAGTCTGTGTCTCCTTCTTCCTAGTCTGGCTTAGTCTGGAAACTCAGCTGAAACCTGTCCTCCATGGGTGACCCTCCTGGTATTTAAAATACCTTTACTGCAACTTACAAGCCTCCACATTATGACAAACTGACAGATGAGTAGTAGGTCTGTGAAATGGGAACGCTGGAATTCAAAAAGAGTGTTTTTTCAAGCTGAGGCCTCAATTCAATTCCATTCCCTTCCCTGCCTGAATTCTTTCTGCTTTAGGATAGGATTGAATTCTTCTTTTAACACTGCAACCTGAAAGCAGATCAGAGAAGATTGACTTTTTCTTTTCCTGTATTGGGGGAAAACTACGCATCCTGCAGTTCTTTACCGAGTCTGATGTGCTGTTTGATCATCGCTGTAGGCATCCCAGGCTGTGAGGACAGAGCCATGCCCAGGGCTGCTTTCACACTAGGCACAGTGCTTAGGGCTCACAAAGCTTTAAGGAATCTCCCAGGAGCAATTTTTTTACTTACTTTAAAATGAGGAGAGAGCAGTGAGTTTTTTGGGTGTAAAATTATATTCATCTATCTGTTGATGCAGTGGTAAATATGAGGGAGCTTCAAAAAATTTGTGGAAAAAGTGAGTTGAAAGATAATGGAATTTTTCCCCAACTTTTTGAAGTCCCCCTCATATAATCTAAAATATGGTTTTGTGGAGGCAGGGTCCCAGGAAAGCAGAGCGCCCTGGGCCTGCGGAGATCATACTGTGGCCCCCACACAGAGCTGACGCCTCGGGAGAGCCATACATGAAAAGAACAGTGCAGGGCACAGGTGTGAAGCTGGTAGCGTGTTCTTGTGAAGAAAGGAGCAAGCTCTCTCTCCTCTCCCTCTCAGTTCACAGGTATGACCCGGAAAGATGCTTTTCAAGCCCTGACTCAGAAAGCCCGGAGGAAGAGGGTGGGTGGAGACGTGACCAGTGACAAGCTGAAAGACTGGCTGATCTCAAGGCAGCGGTACTGGGGCACGCCAATCCCCATCATCCACTGCCCTGCCTGTGGGCCTGTACCTGTGCCTCAGGAGGATTTGCCCGTGACCTTGCCCAGCATTTCTTCTTTCACTGGCAAGGGAGGCTCTCCCCTGGCCATGGCTTCAGAGTGGGTCAACTGCTCCTGCCCCAGGTAAGCATCCCGGACCCCTAGCCTGCGGGACCTCAAGCGTCTTCCTCCATAACAGCCACTGGGCAAGAACGAGTAGTCTTGTGGGACCTCTGGGAAGGTCTGGAAGCAGAGAGCAGCTCCTGACATGGGGGCAGCAGTGTCACTTCAGAGCTGACTGATGTGAGAGCGGCACACTCTCATCATGTTGTTAAGCACTGTGGAGAGTCGGTTCCTCCTTGTTGTTAAGCAATGCTGTATCGGGTTTCTCAGGAGTGCGTATCCTACAGCTCCACACCAGGACTCACACATTCATCATGGCTTCACAATAAACCACTCTCTTCCATTTTATATTCCAAAGAACATCTTCAAGCTGAGAGGAAATGTCTTCTCGCTTCCACCTTACGAGTTTTCCAATACAGTGACTGTCATCACAGTGGAGATTTGATCACAAGCAACAGAATTGTCACTGAGACAGTGCTTGCTCACGGGCTTCGTCCTTTAATATCCTGAAACTCATCACAGTTCGCTGCTGCCCATTTTGGAAATGGGATTGGGTTTCTCTGTTGATTCACTGATGTGTGTCAGGTGTGGCTTTAGGATGCCATTCTAGCTGATTAAACCAGTAAACAGCTGATACCCAGCTCTAGCATTTTCTTTCCCCTGTACGTTGCTGCTGTTACATGCCATCAAGTCGGCTCTGACTCATAGCCACCTTGTATAGGATTTCTGAAGAGCGGCTGGTGAGCTTGAACCGCTGACCTTGCAGTTCAAATCAACTTTGCAGTCCAGCTCATTAACCCACAGCTCCATATCAGTACTTCTCCCCTTTTCACAGAGGAATCGTTTTTCTCTGCCTTATTCAAAGGGACTTCAAAAAGTTCATGGAAAAATGGAATTGAAAGATATTGCAATTTTCCCATGAACTTTTGGAAGTCCCTTCATAGGTCATGATCAGAGTATTTTTTAATGAATCCCTCACCAATACAGAGCTTAATTACTAGATTGGTAATTAGGTAAGTACACAGTGCATTCGAAAGGCTTAGACACTAATGAATTCAAGTCCCAACTCTGCCTTTTACCAGTTGTGTGGCTATGGGAAAGTCAGTTGACCTCGCTGAACTTCAGTTACCTTGTCAGGAACTAACATAACCCCTGTAAAGGACTATTAAAGAGATTAGAGTTGGCACAAGCAATCCTGCAGGCATTTAATAAGTGAGAGCCTACTGCCATCCTCCCATCTTCTCGTGCAGGTAGTTTTGAGATTTGACACAGGAGCTGGTGAGCAAGAACTCTGGAAGCCCTGGGCTCCCCTTTGTTGAGAAGCAATGACAAACAGCTTCTCTGCTGGAGACCTTGGTGGCCTTCAGCCCAGCACGTGCTGGTGTGGGTAAGGTTTCCTACCTTGCTGCAGGGTTCTTGGATGGCAGGGCTTAGGGCGCTGGAAGATTCTAGTGAGTGTCCAAGACTGAGAACTGCTGAGCCCTTGCTCTTGAGCTTTGAGACCTTAAGTGAGTTTCTTAACCTTTCTGAATCCTAGTTACTAATGTGCAAAATGGGGACATGAACAGTACCTACATCTTAGTTCCCAGGGGTTCAGTTGGTGCTGCCTGTCAAGCATGTTACTTTTGGAACTAATAGTAATTATTAGGTTGTCACCATTATCCATCTATTCCTCCCACTTCCCAAGTAACCTCTTCCATATTGCCCAGTTTTTAGCATTAGTAATTAAATGTGCTGTCTTCAAACGCAATATAACTGCTAAAGAGAAAATCAGCATGGCAGCTTTTTTCAAACTATTATTTCTTTTCTAAATTGAGTCTTACCTTTTCTTCTTATCATGTGCCATTGCATTAATGATGAAGGAGGGAACGTAACCTCCAGTGTCTAATTACTTCCCAAAATAATATCTGTGTTTTACTTGATTGTTCTCCAAATAATAGGAGTTGGCTTTAATTTAGAGATGCACTGTTGACATCATTCATCTGAAGTGGCTCTGGGTGTTAATAAATGGGGCTCCCTCGAGGCTTTCTCCACCAAGTGCCTACCACCAAGGACCACCACGGCTCCCAGTGTGAGGCCCTGAACTAAAAAGCTTCTGAGTCCTCAGAGAAATCTGGGACTTCTATGGTCTCTGCTCAATCCCTTCCATTAAATGGGCAGGCAGGGCTGGAGTGACTGTTCCCATCACTGTTATCTGTAAAGCCAGTATGAATTGCTTCATAGATACAGATAGAGATGCAAGTCCTTCTGTTAATTTTTAAGTTCAGAATGAACTCAAGCCCTTGGATGCTAACCTAGTGGAAACTTCAGCAGTTCTTCTTGGGGCTCCTCGTGCCCCCTTCCCTAGTTCCCCAAGATCTTCTAAGAATTTACCTTGGAGGGGAGGCTTCCAGGCCCCAGAAGGGAGAACCTCAAGTCCATGCTGTCTACTCCTGCTATGGCTTCACACAGCCACTGAGGGTTCCTGTGAACACTAGCTAGCTCTACCCATCAGACACAAGAGACTGATCTACTGCTATCCATGCCTTCAGGAGTCTTCAAGTGAGCCAAGCCCCCATCCTCAGGCTAAGCTAAGGGCACCATCTGTTGGGTTTCTAGGGGGTATGGTGTGGGTGCTCAATTTTAGTCCACAGACCTGCTGTCCTAGCAACATATCTCAGAAGGCTTAGTATGTAAGTCCTTGTGGGATCTGGTTTCTTCCCAGGCATCTCCCTTCCTCGAATAGAGATGTTTTCTTCTGTTCAGCCCTTCATGCCCCAAGAATTTCACTTAATTTTCTTTCTTGGACTATAGCACCGTCTCCACCCTCCTGAAAGGAAGCTGCCTCATAGGCAGTGGTGTGTTTGGTAAATGTTTAGTAACCGACTCTCTGGGGACAGGGAAGAAGGGAACTCTGATGTGTAGCATTTGCGGGTTTCTGTGGTATAACTACTCTCACCAGGGCTAAAGTTGGGAAGTTGGGAAGAGATGGCTAAAGTTACAGAGTTGGGAAGAGATGCTACCAGTTGACTCTTGTGAGCTGGAATGAGTTGGCTCCAGCAGCACCCCACTGCCCTCAGGGCCTGCAGGAAGATCAGATTTCTAAAGTGGATCAGTGGCCTTCTGTATGCCTCTCCCTAGAGCAGAGGGAGAGAAAACCCAAGTTCATTTTCCAGCACATTTGGGTTTCAACTCTTCTTCATAAATTGATTTGCTTCATAAGCTTCACAAAATAGGCATTGACTGAAGGCAACGTTGACATGCCTGAAATAGAGGTTAATGGGCAAAAGAGGTGCTTAATCTTGTCCTGTCCTTTTAAGTTAGATTTTCTAGCAGATTAAATTGCGGGAAGCAGAGACGAAGGCTTGTAATTGCCAAAGATTAAAAATTTTCTTTAGAAAATTTCCTTACAGCGTCTTGTACTGCAGTATAATAAGAGAGCTTTCACTGAATTGTCTTCTCATGATGCGCATTATTCTCATGACATTTTAAATTCATCCGTATTTTCATAGCTTTCTCAAAAGCTAGTGGAAAACTGCAGTAAAATTTAAAAAGAAAACAATTGATGAATTTCATTTGTTTCTTAGGTGCAAGGGAACAGCCAAGAGGGAGACTGACACCATGGATACTTTTGTTGATTCAGCTTGGTACTACCTCAGATACACTGACCCCCAGAACATTCAGAGGTAAAGAAAGCCCGTGGCTGAGTCCTTTCAGTGCATGTCAGTTTGAGCCCTTCAGGATGGAATTAGATATTTAAGATGTTTATTGGGCCTGTGAAGGATAAAGGGAAAAGATATTAGGAGTTTCTGGATGGTGCAAATGGCTAATGCGTTTAGTTACATCTACAAGGTTGGAGGTTGGAGTCTACCCATAAGCACTTCACAAGAAAGGACTGGCAATCTACGACCTAAAAATCAGCCATTGCAAACCCTGTGGAACATAGTTCTGTTCTGACACACATAGGGCTGCTGTAGCCAGAATCAGCCCAGTGACAACTGGTTGGTTGGTTTTGTTGAACTGGAGTAGGTGTGGAGAGGCCTCAGGCCATAAAGCAGGGCTGGCACCTGCAGAAGGAGAGAAGGATGGAAAGAAGTAGGTAGGGAGAGCCTCAAACAGCAGTACAGCTCTGAGAAAGTCTAAACCAGTCTGTGTCGGAGCCACTAAGAGAGCACGGCCTGGCATGGACGCCCCAGCAGAGCCAAGGACACAGCTGGGAGCTGTCAGCCAGTGGCGTTCTTTGAAATAGATTCTCTTGAAGGGAATGTAGTAGATTATTACTCACAGCCAACTAAATCCCAAGTGTAAGGGTAAAAAAATCAGGAAAGAGAAGGAAATGCTAATGTAATACCCTCGTTGGCCCTGCAGTGAACCACATTTATGTGGCCAGAAAGAGATAATGTTATTTAACTGAAAATAACACTGTAACTATGCAGGGAGAGTAGAAGACAGAATGTGAGAACTCAGGAGTATTATCTCATACCATAGACAGTCACTAGATAAGTTCTAAAATGATAAATAAATAAAGAGTATAAACATTTTATTTAATAATTACCAAGAAAAACAAGTAAAAGAATTTAGAATCGTGGTTTCTAAGAGACAGGTCTGAAGGCTGGAGAAGGAGAAAAATCAGTGATTGGAGACTACTGATTTTCAGTGTAGGCCTAATTTTAGCTTTATTTTCATTTTAGCTATGTTCGTGTGTTTCTTTGATCAGAAAAAGAAAAAGAACTAAGAGAAAGAGAGTAA